ATAAACATGATCAATGAGAACAGTCTAAAAACAAACATGTATTGAATTTAAGATCTTGGAGTGGGATTAACATGGAGAGAGAAGAATTTCCAGCAAGCAGATACAATGGTAAGCAGTGTAATGGGGAAAGAGCAAGTTGGATTTAAAACATAAGAAGGAATAGATTATAGAATAGTTTGGGGGAATAATTAGTTGGCCAAGACACGAAAGACCACGTAGTGTATGAATTCTACTTATATAGAATCTCCACAATAGGTAAATTTATAGAGACAGAAAGTAGATTAATGGTTGCCTAGGACTGGGGGCTGGGCTGCTAACTGAAAGGTCAGTGGTTGGAACCCACCAGTGGCTCCACAGGAGAAAAGACCTGGCAATCTGCTCCGTAGAGATTACAGCCTTGGAAACTCTATGGAGCAGTTCTATTCTGTCACATAGGGTTGGTAGGAGTCAGAATCGACTTGATGGCACCTAACAACAACAGCAGGACTAGGGGAAGGGGCAATGAAGAGTGACTGCCAGTGGGTGCATGATTTCTTTTTGGGGTGATGAAAATATTCTGGAATTGGATAGTGGTAATGGTAGTACAAGGAGCCCTGGTGGCACAGTGGTTAAATGCTTGGCTGCTAACTGAAAGGTCAGCAGTTCAAACCCACCAGCCACTCCTCGGGAGAAAGATGTGGCAACCTGCGTCCGTAAAGATTTGTTGTTGTTGGGTGCCATCAAGTCCATTAGGACTCATAGCAACCCTGTGTACAACAGAACAAAAAGCTGTCTGGTCCTGCGCCATCCTCACAATCCTTGGAAACCCTCATGGGACAGTTCTACTCTATCCTTTAGGGTCGATGAGTCAGAATCAACTTGATGGCAATGGGTTTGGCTTTTGGGGAGGTTAATGGTTGTATCTGTGAATATACTAAAAAACACTGAATTGTATACTTTAAAAGGGTAAATTTTATGTTTTATGAAGTTTTATGTTGTATGAATTATATCTCAATAAACCTGTTTTTAAAAAGAAAAAAGCCAGATAAATGAGTCCCCTGGTGGAGAATATTAAAATCTAGGACTAAGACTTTGAATCTGATCTAATGGGCAACAAAGAACCATTATAGGTTATGGGTATGGAATGGATTTTCTGCAGTTTCCCTTTTTTATCTGGACTTTCATTGTAAAAGTACATACTCATTGAAATAAAATTCCAGTAATATAAAATAGAACATTTTAGTGTTCTCCTATCTCACTCCCCATAGATCACCACTATAAAAAGTGTAATTCTTTTCTAAATATTTTTCCATTTCTCTTTTTTTTTTTAAATACAAATAAGATCGTATTATCCATCTTGTTCTGTAACTTTTTCATACAGCGGTGTTTCATGGATATCTTTTCATACTTAGAAATGAAGATAATGCTCCTTTTCATTGCCCGTAGTAGTTTTCAAGTTGTATTCTTGGGGTACCTTACAGATACCTTAGGGATCTTACCACTGCTAAGAGATGAGAGAGATCAGGTGAATAGGCAATATTCTTTTTGTTTTACGTATTAGACTTCACCTAAGATTTTGTTTGCCAGAAGGGTTCCATTGGCAAAAAAAAAAGGACCAAGTGCATCATTCCTCCCACCTCCTGCTTTTTCCACTTTAAAAAACTCTGCTGCAAGATAAAGAGGATCTAACTCAGCTTGTCTGTTATTCATTATTTTACTAGGATGTATATTAATTATTATTAGGATGGTATATTAATTTCTGCTGATAAATGAGTTTCAAAAGGCAACTTAAACATACATTTGAATGTTCATAGCAGCAAAAAAAATTTTGTTTTGAAAACACCTCAAACTTCCATCAGTATAAGAATGAATAAACAAATTGTGGTCTAGTCCTACAGTGGTATTCCACAATGGTAAAATGAATGAGCTACAGTTGTAACCCATCAACACTGAAGAAGCTCAAAATCATAGTGAAAAAAGTCACAGGAAAAAATATATAGTAAGATTCTACCATATTAAAATGTTCAAAATCAAGCAGAAATATATTGTATGTACATACATAAATTTATAGAATTTTTATAAAAGCAAAGAAATGACTAAGACAAAATTCTGTATAGTGGTCACCTCTGGAGGTGACGTTGGAGGTTGGAATTAAGGGAGGTTACAAAGGGGACTTCAACTATATTGATAATCCTCGAACTGAGTTATAGGTACATGGGTTTTTGTTTTATTCTTTAAACTGTAAAGATAGGTTCATACACTTATGTGTATGGTATATTCCACAATAAAGGTTTTTTTAAAGACAACCTAGAGTCAAGGATGGTTTGTTTTTACTTTTCTCAGTTAAGTTGCTTGTACATGATATGACTTATTTATTTATAAGAGTGGTATGTTCTTATAGAAAATTTAGAAAATATAAATAAGGAAATAGAACTCATCAGCAATCCTATCATTAAAAGATACTATTTTTAACATTTTGGTACACTGTTGATCTCTGTGGGGTTTTTCCTATTTTTGTGTATTCATTTTAAAAGTTTTTACAGAAGTGAGATTATTTTACTGTAATATTGTTTTGCAGTGTGCCCATTATAAGGCTTTTGAAAGTGAATTTTATCCTAAGCAAATCATATCCGCATGTTAGATGCTGTTGGTGCTTAGCGAGTTGCTAGCTGCACAGCCTTGGGCAAGTTTCTTAACCTTTAGGTCTTAGTTTCCTCATGTGTAAAACGTTATTATAAGGATTACCTTATTACCATAGGGAAAGCACTTAGGCAGAATCTGGCATGTGATAAACAATCAAGGTTTTTCATATTTTTTAGAGAGGCAGTAGAGCGTAACAGTTAAAATTGCAGATTTAGATCCAGACTGCCTGAGCTCAGATCCCAGCTCTGCCATTTCTTAGCTCTGTGACCATGAGCAAGGTACTTAATCTCTCTCTGCCTCAGTGGCCTCCTCTGTAAAATGGGGATGTATTAGATGTCTATTGTTTCTAACAAATCTCTCCAAAACTCAGCATCTAAGACAATAAGCATTTATTATCTCACATAGTTTCTGAAGATCAGAAATCTGAGAGCAGCCTTAGCTGGGTGGTTCTGAATCAAGATCTCTCATGAGGTTTCACTCAAGCTTTTGGCTGAGGCTGGAGTCATCTGAAAGCTGGACTGGGGCTGGAGAGTCCCTTTCCAAGATGGGTCATTGTGGGTGTTGGCAAGAGACCTCAGTTCCTCATCATATGGGCCTCTCCATAGTGCTGGTCATGACACAGCAGCTAGCTACCTCTAGAATAAGTCATCCAAGAAAAAGAGAGCAGGTGCCCAAGACAGAAGCTGTAGTGTCTTTTATAACCTAATCTTGAAAGTGACATGTTGTCACTTATGCTATATTCTATTGATGACACAAACCAGCCCTGGTACAGTGTTGGGGAGGGGACTACAAAAGAGTGTGAATACCAGGAGCCAGGATTCGTGGGAGCCATCTTGGAAACTGGCTACCACAGCGAGTAATAATAGTAAGCCACATCATATAGTCACTGTAAAGATTAAATGAGTTGATACATGTTAATAACTTAGAATAGTATCTGACTAATAGTGGTAGAATTCTCACCTTCCATGCAGGAGACCCGAGTTCAGTTCCTGCCAGTGCGCTTCAAACAACCACCACTTGTCTGTCAGTGGAGGCTAGCATGTCGCTGTGGTGAACAGGTTTCAGCAGAGCTTCCACACTAAGACAAACGAGGAAAAAAGTCCTGGCAATCTGCTTCCGAAAATCAGCCAAGGAAAACCCTATGGATCACAATGGTCTGGTCTCGTGCATGGGGTTACCACAAGTTGGGGGCCAGCTAGATGGTAGCTGACAACAATAACAAACATTCAATAAGCATTAGATAATATTTTGCTATTATTAGTGCTTAGTGTAGGCTGAGGGATGCGGCTTTTGTGACGGATTGTTTTAGTAACTCTTGCTTAGGAACTTAAAGTAAAAACAGGCATAATTTCCATTGCATAAGGAAAGCATTCACCTAGTCATCCCTGGGCTAGCAGCGAGGAAGTCTGCTAGGTACTAATATTAAGAACAAACACATGGCATTTCACAACAGCTTCTTAATCTGGGGTGTTTTGGGACCTATAGGTGAGAATGAAAGAAATCTGAGACTCTTGAAATTATATGCCAAAAGTTAGTATGTGCCTAGCCTACAAGCAGTTTACTGAGCAGAATGAATCCATACCTTTCAATATATTCTCTAGGGAGTCTTCAAACCTTAAGAACCACATTCTTTATCTAGTTGGATTCTCATGACAGCCCCAAGAGGTGGGTTTTGAAGGATAGAAAGGGTTTTGAAGGATAGAAAGATGGGGCTGACCTTCAAGTCACTGTTAATACAAAGGCAGAGAGTGACAAATCCTATTCGAAAGGTATTATTTTACCTTGGGAATTCAGAAGGAGGAATTTATTCCGGCTCTTGAAATTGGGGAATACTTTTTGGCATTTAGCTCTGGTGTTAAAAACTATAGATCATTTAACAATATTTATCAAATGCATGCTATATTCCAGTTATTATTCTAGGTCCTGAGAATATAGTATTTAGCAAACAGGCAAAAATCTGCACCCTTACGGAGCTTACATTCTTTTGGGGAAGTCATATGGAGAGAATGTGACCCTTTTCCCCACCTTATATATTGAAACTTGAGGGCAACTTTGATTAAATGCCTGACACTGCCTTCCACATAATGGTGTGGTGTTCAGTAAAATTTGACTGAATGAGTAAAAGAATGAACCAAAGAGCTGGAAGAGATACTAAGGGGTCAAGAGCCTAGTTTTCAGGCAGGACTACATTTAACTATTATTTTCCCCAGATTTTTGCAGTGGAATGGAAATTTGAAATCTGGGTTATCTCCTCGAAGCTGTGAGGAGATTTGACAAATTGAAGAGCTGAACTTTGGTGTCTCCATCTACTATTGAGCTACTTTTAGTTCTTTGGCACTTTAGAAATGCAAAGCGTCATTGTTATTTGTTATTTCTAGGAGAGGTGACGCCAGGACTATCCCAGGTGGAATACGCGCTTCGCAGACACAAACTAATGTCTCTGATCCAAAAGGAAGCACAAGGGCAGAGAGGGACAGACCAGACAGTGGTTCTGCTGTCCAACCCTACATACTACATGAGCAACGATATCCCCTACACTTTCCACCAAGACAACAATTTCTTGTACCTGTGTGGATTCCAAGAGCCCAATAGCATTCTGGTCCTGCAAAGCCTCCCTGGTAAGCAGTTACCATCACACAAGGCCATGCTCTTTGTGCCTCGGAGAGACCCTAGTCGAGAACTTTGGGATGGCCCACGATCTGGCACCGACGGAGCAGTAGCTCTAACTGGAGTGGACGAAGCCTATCCACTAGAGGAATTTCAACATCTAGTACCAAAACTGAGAGGTAATAAGTGGGAGCAGAAGTCCAGTCACAGACCAGATTGGGGTTAAGACCTGCCTTACCTTCACCACCAAGTTTAGACAAAGTTCTCAATTCCCTAAAATGATTATCATAGCAGTGTTTTCCTGACCACTGTTAAAGGAACATAAGTCTTTTGAAAAGACTGGGCTGCTTCATAGGTTGCATTAATTCATTTGATAAGTCTTCACTAGATGATTCATTTACAGAGACTGTTTTAACTGTCTTAGTTTGAAATCTGAGAGAATTTTTTTTTTAAAGTAGAGGATGGGCACGGCCCAGTCTTCAAAATTACTGACAAGTTTATTGACCACTGCTTATCAGAGGACCACCACTCTTATCTAAACACTTTGCCAGCTCTTCAAAAGGAAGCAAGATTCTCAAAGAGAAATCCATGGATCACCAGCTCAGCATTACCTGGGAACATACTAGAAATGCAAAGTATCAGGCCCCATCCATACCCACTGAATCAAAATCTGAACGAGATTCTCAGGTGACTCGTGCACAGTAAAGTTTGAGAAGCACTACTTGAGATTTTACAAGTTAACTTTTTAACAATCAAATACGAATTTGTGACTTCAGTTGAGTTCTGGCCCTTCAAAGTAGTCGCTTTGTCTACATTTATTCTGGTGAAATTACAATCACTCAGAATGTTTTGGGATTCCTCTTCTGGAACTTTCTTCAGAACTAACTCCACATTATAAACTATCCTTAGTGACTGTTATAAATCTTCAGGTTTAGGAAGCATTTTATTTTTTGAATCATCCAAAAGTCACTTAAAGCCAAATTTGATAAATAAGATAGATGGATCAAGTTGGATTAAGAATTTTTTACCAAAATGATGTAGAGTTGTAAAGTTTTAGTCTGATTTTCTTATGATTTATAAACCATCACTGAAGGCAGCTTCTAAAAGAGAACCCCAAAAATGTTTCCAAAAAAACTCATTTGAATGTGTAGATTGTAATACGTTTGATTGAATTATTTTTATCACTTTATGGAAACATTTTCTGTTTTACAGAGATAATTACCCAGTTTAACTAGCAGAACTTTCTTATGTCTTCAAAGTATACATAAAGGCACAGAATCTTTCTTTTTTTTTTTTTTGTAGCTTTTGGATTTCTTGAATTAGTTGCTGGCTATCATGTTTAACAGTCTAAATTTCATTTATCCAGTATAGTTAAAATCACACTTAAAATATTTTTCTCAGGAGTACTTCTCATGCACTATTCTGAATGTTAGTAGTTTACCAGATAAAAGCACTAGGCAAAAGAAAAGATTTATGAAATCAGAATTATTTGAAAGTTTAGAAAAATTGGGTTATGATTTCATACAGAGAAGTAAATAGTAGAGACCATTTTAACTTTTTAAAAATTACTATCATTAAATTTCTATGTACTAAAAGTAAGATTAGTATTTTCCATGTAATGTACACATAAAACCATTTTTACTTTTAAATGAAAATATTTAGGATGTCGTATTACTAATGCATGGCGCAGGACTGGGCAGTGTTTCATTCTGTTGTACCATAAGGTCGCTATGAGTCAGAATCGACTCCACGGCACCTAACAACAATAACAACGTCAATATTACTAATGCATATCCAATCAAAGTTTTCAGGGATTTTTTTCCTTCTGCTGTCCCAAAGTACTTTTTAGTCATATAAACTATCTAATTCCCCAGACTTAGATTGTTAGGAATGATACTAATGGCCTACCATGAGAAAAAAAAAAGAAAGAACAAATGTAGACCTGATGTTGTGTGGAAATCACTTCTATACTAAGCCTTCTTATCATATAGCTCAGGTAAATATAGACCACTTCCTTGGGCCCCTAAATTTAAAATGTGAACGCTGACTGTCTACAATGTGAATAGATAGCAGGTGGAAAGGGAGAGGTGGGTAAGTGTAATTAGCACATTTTGTCAACTACAGTGTTTCTAGAGCAGTGAATAATTGCTCCAAAATGAAAGAAGAACCTCCTTTCACTAGTACTGAGATCTTTTTATGAAAGAATGCAATGCTTTAACTATATAAGTCATAATCTGAGTACTTTTTCTACCGTTTTGGGTGCAATTACTCAAGAATGCCTCTAGATCAATAGTGGTGGAGATCAATTGTTATAATTGTTCTTTAACAGATAATAAATAAAATCAGTGCTTGAATAAAGCTGCCTCCAACTGTATCCTTTAGTCCCATCTATCTGTCATCCTTACAAAGAACACTGAAATTTTGAGGCAGAAAATCTCTATATTCAGTCTCAGAATATCTTGCCATTTTAGGGGAATGGCCTTTCCAGTGGTTTATGATCAAACCCTTCAGTTACTTTACTCCTGAGAAAGTCTGCACTCTTTAGAGTTCCACACCACGGATCCTATAGTTGTGGCTCTTGTTCAATTCACTATGACAGTTTGGTATTTCTTATTGCTGCTGTTAATTTTGTTTTAAATTTATTTTTGACTTCTTGTTTTAAGCTGAGACAAATATGGTTTGGTATGACTGGATGAGGCCCCCTCACGCACAGCTTCACTCTGAATACATGCAGCCTCTGACTGAAGCCAAAGCCAGGAGCAGGAACAAAGTCCAGGCTGTCCACCAGCTGGTGCAGCGCCTCCGGCTGATCAAATCTCCTGCAGAAATTGAGCAAATGCAGAATGCTGGGAAGCTGACATCACAGGTATGGTTGCAATTGAAAACGTTTTTGCCAAACTAAAAAATTATAAGCTCTTAGAGTTCGGTGGGCACCTTGAGGTCACATACCCAATGCAGTAATCTCCTCACAGACAGATGAACGTCTAGCTTCTGCTTAAATAGGTTTAGTGAACATGTCTTGCTCATGGTAGTGAACATGAGACTTGCTCAATACTTTAAAAGGCATAGTAAATGCCATCTTGTATCTTTCACCCATCAATCTTAGTTGTTTCTTCTGGGAACAACATTAATTAATTCTATTTAATAACTGTACCAATAGAAGTTAAACAGGGTTTGATGGCTAAAGAAGACTCAGATGATCCAAAATGACAGTGCTAACAAATCTACAATTACAGGAAAAGGGTACAAGATAGCAACAGCATTAGAGTAAGGGTATGCATCACAGCCAATGGCCATCTCAAAGCAAGGCGCCTGGAGAAGCCAGCTACAGGCTCCTATTGCCCTCCCTCGTAGGGGCCAGGAGCAGGATGTGTTTTCTCTCCCAGATCAGTAACCTCTAATGCATAAGGAGAACACTAAGGAACTAGGCAGCCCAAAATGGAACCTCAGCTAGGGATTTTTGTCTTTTTTTGGTCACAAGGCATATTTCTATCACATAACAGCAACCCTATGGGGGTCTCATCAACACCAAGTACAAACCATCCTTATCAGTGTTATCGAGACACAGTGCTGGCAATCTAGTACAAACTGCACCAAAGCCTGTTGGACCAATGGCTACAAATGGACTTTATTTTATTCATCAGTATGCCTCACTGCTTAACCAAGCAGGAACTTTAGAAAACAGCTAAGGCTACTTCCAAGCCTTCTGGAATTAACCCTCACAGAAAAGTCTACATCCCTGACCCCTGGTCAAGGCTCTTTTCCTATAAAATAATAATTGTTAGTTTGACAGCAATTACTTAATAACCCCTTATTTGTTATTGTACATGTTTAGATTCTATATGTGTTTTTTGATTGCTAAAGTCCCAACCCCTGTACCTGTAAATATGACCCTATTTGGAAATAGGGCTTTTCTTTTTTTGTGTTAACGAGGTCATACCAGAGTAGAGTGTGTCCTATACCTAATCCCTTCTGAGTGATGTCTTATAAAAAGGGAAAACACACAGAGGGACACACCGGGAAGTGACCGTGTGAGAAATTGTCTATAAGCCAAGGAACACCCACAGCTACCTACAAGGAGGGACCCTCCCTGTAAAATGGAACTAGTAGTAATAGTAATAGCAGCATCAGAACCTGCCTAACTTCTGGGAAGATAACGAGAATCAGGATTAGCCCAAGGCTGACCCCTATGAGGTAGAGATCAGACACACCTCCACTCTCCAACCTTTTTACCAATTCTGACACCAGCCATCCCTCCCATAGCACTCTACTTCTCTTCTGGGTTCAATAATCCATTGCAATGGCCACACACAACTCACAGACCATACTTACTTAAGTGGTTTGTTAAGGAGCAGGGTACAACTCAGGATCAGGATAAGGAAGCATGTAGGCAAAGTCTCCCTTCTTCAGTGCAGGAAGCTCTCACGGCTCCCCTTGGGCATGCAGGCTTTCTCTCAGCTCCCTGAAGACAGGCTTCTCTTGGCCTCCTCAAGACAGGCTCATCTTGGCCCTGCCATCTGTCACCACCGGCTCAGCCACTGGGACCCTTCCAGGCCTATTGTCATTGGCTGTGCCCCTTCCAGGCCCATCGTTGTCTTTAGTGTGACAGCCCTTGACCCATGTCACAGCTCTTTAGGCAGTTCTTTGCCTCCTTTCATTTGCATAGTAGGCTGTAGTCACTTCATTTGTTTAGTCTATTGACCAAGTCCTATAAGGTGCATACCAATCACAGAGTAGGGTGCAACCTGTTGTTGTTGTGAAGTGCTGTCAAGTCGATTCTGACTCATAGCAACCCTATGTATAACAGAACGAAACACTGCATGGTCCTGCACCATCCTCATAATCCCTGCCATGCTTGAGCCCATCGTTGGAGCCACTGTGTCAGTCCATCTCATTGAGGGTCTTCCTCTTTTACGCTGACCCTCTACTTTACCAAGCTTGATGTCCTTCTCCAGGGACTGATACCTCCTGATAACATGTCCAAAGTATGTGAGATGTAGTCTCACCATCCTTGCTTCTAAGGAGCATTCTGGTTGTACTTCTTTCAAGACAGATTTGTTCATTCTTTTGGCAAACCATGGTATATTCAGTATTCTTCACCAACACCACAATTCAAAGGCATCAGTTCTTCTTCAGTCTTCCTTATTCATCTTCCAACATTCGCATGCGTTTATGAGGCAATTGAAAACACCATGGCTTGAGTCAGGCACACCTAAGTCTTCAAGGTGACATCTTTGCTTTTCAACACTTTAAAGAGGTCTTTTGCAGCAGATTTGCCCAGTGCAAGGTATCATTTGATTTCTTGACTGCTGCTTCCACAGGTGTTGATTGTGGATCCAAGTAAATAAAATGAAATCCTTGACAACTTCAGTCTTTTCTCCGTTTATCATGATGTTGCTTATTAGTCCAGTTGTGAGGATTTTTGTTTTCTTTATGTTGAGGTG